ATCCGCCATTGGGTTTGATAGTAAGGGGTTCTCTCCTCAATTGGTTGATAGTACAGGGGGTCTATCCACGATTAACCGAAATCAAAATCAAGAAGTCCAGAACAGGATTCCAAGTTTGTTTACGCAATATTGACCTAGAGAAAATGGAGATAGAGAGGAGCCCCCAATAAATGAAAGTTCATGGATAGGTAGGCCTAGGATCATGCATTTTAAACTCTTGAAATAAAATAGAAAAACTATAAAAATATGAATTAAGAAAAAATCTAGATAAAATCATTGTTGAAAAAAAACTGTTACGTAACTCCATATTTTGTGTTACTTAACCTAAGTTACCTAAGAGACCTTAAATGTTACATAGCCTATTGAAATAACTCGGTCATTATAACTCTGCGTTATTACAATATAATATGTGTTATTTCCATCTAACTTACGTTATTTCAATATAACATGCGTTATTTTAAAATAATTTGCATTATTAAAAAAAAAACGTTACTTCAATATTGATTATTATAGAGACCTGCAAGTATTTCCTTTCTTTTTTCTTCTATACTCGAAGCACATGTGCTCTTGGATTGGTTTTTAACAATTTATGATGTATTTTTGTTGAGAAATCATGATGATATATTTGATAATTATGATGATATATTTAAAAACTGTGATGATTCTATTTCCTAAATCATAGTGAATCTTTATTTATTAAATACTTATATAATAATAAAACATGTATCCTATGTTATGTATTACGTTGTATTGTGTTTTACGTTAATGGGAGGCGAGCATTACATTATGGGTTATCGTAATTTTCAACATTGGATAAAGTCTCATAACACAATAACATAAATATATGCAAGTCTCCTCCAACACACTGGCCAAAGAGCTGAATGGAATGAATCTCCCATGATCCCATCCTAACACCAACTCATTGTCCTTGTTTGTTCCTTACTAATCAAAGCAATGCTTAATAATAAATTTTAAAAACTCAACTTTATTTCTGGCATAAATTTGATTACTCAGAAGTCTTAGTTACGATCAAATTTTTTCTGTTCTTTGCTCATTGGCTTTATTGTGTCTTTAGAGTTGAATGCCCTTACCTGTAGCGAACATATCATATCTTCCTTTCTTCTAGACTCTTTCTTAGAGTAGGAGAATAATTGAGAATATCTCCTTCAACAACAAACTTCGTAAATAAATAAAATTTTCTAGCTGTCCTTTGCTTTCTGAGATTCGTGTTTCTTATTATCAATAGTTTTATTTATCGGGAATTTGGCAAGATTTTTGGAAATGTTCTCACCAAATTAAAATTTGATCCTGGTCATAGTAGTGAATAAGCACATATTTTCCTCTCTGACTAGTTCCTTGATTGGTTCTTGTTTGTCCATGTGTCGAATGAAGAACTCTGCAACCAGCTAAGTTGTATACGAGATGCCACATCTTATAGTTTCATCTTTGTTTTTGTGTAGATAGGTATTAAAGGGGGATTAGTGAAGGATTTTCAATTATAATTTAAATTGTTGATTGCTAAAAGGGATTGAATTAATTATATTACCTAGCAGTATCGCTCTGAACTTTCTAATAATAGAATGCTATACCTCCTTATTGTAGATTTGCAATGTGAATAAAATGCCAAGCATACTTGCCATGCATGTGGAATTCATCTTGTGCGCATGCTGCTACCGTCATGCGTGACAGGCTAATTCTGTAGTCCGGACTGCAAGTGTGACATGCAGTATATTTCAATTGCCAAACGACTTCTAAGCCAAATCTTATCCCAGAATACTAAAATTCTTGAAATTAGTGAGGCCATCAGGTTATCCAGATCATATCAACAACAGGTTCCAGTTACCTAGTGTTGAAGATGTAGACTATGTAGCACTAATTCTGCGTGTCCCATATCTTGATGTTCTATCATCAAGAGTCTTGAATGCCTGGATGCAGAAAGGTGGAGTTTAATGGGATGCCCAAAGCAACGACTTCGTAGATGGTTTCACATCATAAAACTACTCTGGTGGTACACATTTAACTACAGAGAACAGAATATGACAATGCTAACTATGAATAACTATTGACTTTATAAGTCATAAAATGCTAACTATGAGTAATTATCGATTTTATAAGCCATAAAATGCACCTATTACAATGCTAACTATGAGTAATTATCGACTTTATAAGCCATAAAATGCACCCCAAAAAAAACTTTCTAGGATGTGCATACTTTGCCAAGTATGGCAGTAAAAGACACGAGAATTCTACCAACCTTGTGGGATCCTTGACTGAAGCCAAATTTGTCGTCCAGTATAATCATATTGGACAATGTAGCTGACAGAAAGATGTGGTAATTCAATATTCAGTATTCACTAACATGAAGTCAATGTGAACCAAGTTCAATGAACCATACTAATAAGTAACAATTCTTCTCAACTAGTAACCCACTTTGAAAACTATTATGACGGAATAAAATGACTTAACTAATTCCTTTCATGTTGTATCTGCATAACTATAAGTTTGAAAAAACAAGCCTGCGCCCCCGTGATGAGGAGATAAGAAGTCCAATTCAAACCCAGATATTAAGAAATACAGTAAAAAAAAAGAGAGGGGAGTAGCTAGATAACAGCCCAAGGCCACAGCTCAGGAATTCTGAGAAGAAACATACCAGAGAAAGTCTTCGAATTGCACGTTCCTCACACTAGAAAATACCAGAAAAAAAAGCACCTTCAGTATCAAAGTTAAATAATCTACCCTTAAAAGACAACCAAGAGAACAAATAGTATCAAAGGCTTTGTTGCTGTTGTTAATTGTATGAAAGAAGAACCTTAAAATCTTAGATTATGACTCCTGTTCCCAGCTAATTTTCTTAACTAGTCATTTATCATTACTCTGGCAACTGACAGCCCTTATCCAATTCTTGGAGCCTCTATTTATAGCCTAAGTAACTAAATTGTCCCAAAAAAGAAACAATGAAACACGTTATTCTCCCATCAGCTTTTCAAGTAGTCAACATTTATCAAACTGACAGATCCAGATTTTGATATTTTGATCTCAAGAAAGAGTTCAGATCAAGAAGCAAAACACCAGAGTAACAAGTCTTGGGTATTTTCACTGACCTTTTCAACTCCCCATCAGAATGTAGAAGCTCCTCAACCAGGCCCTTCACCTTATCTTCATACAAAGCTTCCAATTTTTTGCTCTGTAGACAGTACAACTTGTTCTCATTATCCATTCACCAAAAAGACTTATCACTGAAACCAAGAACCCTAAAGCAGAAATCAGAGAGAAACATACAATCATAAGCTTAATTACTAAAAGGCTATCTTATAACTTTTCAGGATATAGTTTGATCTTTGTATAACAATCAAATATTCCAAACCTTCATAATTTCATATTTTTCATGATGAGAATTGAGAAATTGAAGAAGTGCATGTCATGTGAAAGAGTTTTTCTTAAATCATCAAATCTACCAAAAAAGACTAAGTAGGTTAACTCAAGTTATAGGCTAGAAGCCTAGAAGTAGGCATCTGAAATAGTAAAGGCAGTTTCCCGTCAGACATTCAGGAAGTAAGTACTATTATCCTAATTATTAGATATCCAATTCCCATGAAAAGCTGATTTAGGTACCTTGCTGCTCTACATGGCTGCCAGAGCATTAAATTACTAAACAGAGATATTTAGTGTTATTCCTTACAAAAAGAAGGGTAAAACATACACAAGAACCAACTACCCATAACTTTATACTGAACTAGAAAAGGGGTACCTTACCTGCAGCATACTGGCTCTGTACAGTGTCGTTCCTTTCAATTCAGCAAGCTCGCTTTCTGTGAACCAAAGAGGATTCCCAAAACTACATGGAAGCATGTCAAGGTACCTATATATAGATCATTCCCGACATATAGATAAAATAAGCATCCACTGAGTGTCACTCAACAATGCATTTAACATAATTAAAAATAAAGAATATAATGCATGTGAAATGCAAACTCAAGCTTTATCCCGCTTTGGCCTCTAAGATGTGAGTTAAAGCAGAGATTAAAGTGCCTAAGAAAGCTAAAGTGGAGCTTCAAACCTGTAAATGGTCAAGAACTTTATACTGCAGCTTAAGGAAAAGGGAAGCATTGCTTAAGAAAAATGTTGGTGGTGATTTATGAGGCTTTTTACAAGCTCTCGTAACCCCTAGTTATCAGTTTATGGAAAACTTTGTTTTATAGAAGTTGGAAGCGAATGAACACCCAGATTCTTTACCTTAGGATATAATGTCCAAGTTACAGGTTCATGAGAATTTATAATAAGACTATTCATTGATGT